GTTCAAACAAAAAATGTTACTGAAAAGATGTTTTGGTTGGGCAGTTGGCGGGAGTTCAGTGTGCTGGTAACCCACATTTTTGGGTCAATGAAGATGGTTCATACCAAGAAGAGGGACAAAAGAATACCAGAGGGTATATATGGGGAAAGGTAACATTTCTTTTGGACACTTTTCTCTTGTTTTACTATTTCCAATTTTGCAATATTACTCACTTGTTTTACTTGTTAGGCTGGAATGAAGCTTGTTTGTGCCTTCCTTTCCCTGCCAGTTCCTTCTAGATACTCAACTTCATGTGGGTTTCTCTCCTCCAATGTGGTTGCTAGAACGGTTCCTGATTACGCCGATCATGGAGTAGTTCACAAGCTCCTCTTAGTTGGTTATAGTGGTTCTGGGACAAGCACTATTTTTAAGCAGGTATTTTTTTATTTAGTAATATTGGGTTTGCTATTTCTCTCTGCTTTTTGTTTTATGCTTGAAACTTTCTTTTAGTCAGGAAAAATTCCTTTGGACAATATATGTTCAAAAGCTTATTTTCATCAAAATTATAATTTTTAAGTCACTTAAACAAGCTAACATGGAAAAAGCTTCTATGAGTAGTCAGTCATATATGGAGTATGATCTTGTCGGTCATAATAATATACATTTATGTGGATACACAATCATGTGTATTATAATTCTTGGATTGGATGCACAATCATGTTAGGCTTCTTTAACTGGCTTGATAGTAACATATTACATGATTATATGCAGTTATGTGGGCAATTGAAGAAGCTTTGTTGACTTCAAACCATTGAGCTGTTTTTGAGCTATTTAAAACTTATAAATGTTCCATGATGCATTACCTGACTTGTGAAATCTGAAAATTCTCAAATAAACTTTAAACCTCCATTCCCATCCTTTGGGAACAAAATTGAGTGTTGCTGTCGATAACTAGCTATGTTGTGCTCTTCTATGTCAACATGCCTGTTGTTACTTAAAGATAAAGAGATCAACATATTTATCAAGTTGTAAATACTTTTGTCAGGCCAAGATTCTTTATAAAAGCACCCCTTTCTCAGAAGAAGAACGTGGAAATATAAAGTTGACCATTCAGACCAATGTCTATGCCTATCTTGGCATACTCCTTGAGGGCCGTGAGCGGTTTGAAGAAGAAAGTTTGGGGAATTTAAAGAAAATTCAGTCTTTACTTTATACTACAGGTTTGAGTTTAATCTTTTCCCTCCTTTCCATCCCCACCAAAATATGTTCATTTTTATTGAATTTTGACTCATTAGCTCATTGGCGAAGCTTTCTTTCCTTTTAAAACATTACATATGTGATATGTGGCTTAGTAAGCTTCAACTATACCGTTTGTTTGTTGTTCTAGTGGTTTTATTATTTTTAGTAATATTTTTTCAGACTTTAAATATTTGACATGCATTTTATCAAGAGCAAAATGTTCATTAGCTAGTACCATTTTGGGTACAGGAACCAGTCCGAAACATGGCGACAAGACAGTTTATTCCATTGGCACAAGACTGAAAGCATTCTCTGATTGGTTACTGAAAACAATGGTTTCGGGCAAGCTTGATGCTATCTTTCCAGCCGCTACTCGTGAATATACTCCATTGATTGAGGAGTTATGGAATGATTCAGCCATTAAGGCCACCTATGAAAGAAGAAATGAAATCGAAATGCTACCCAGTGTTGCAAGTTATTTCTTAGAGCGGGTACAGGATCTTTCTTTTATTGAGTTTACTTTTTATCAATAATTTAAACTTTTTGATTCAACTACATATGACCTTTGAACTTAGAGATAACATATTTATTTGTCATTCCCTTGCATATAGAAGAAAATGTCAGTAGAAGGGTGTGTGTGGTTAGGTACTGATGGAAAAATTAAGGAATATATCGGTGCTGAATTCTGTAGCTTTCAAAGATAACAGGATTCTTAATTGAAGAATATAATTAAATTTTTATATTTTATTATAGGTGTGAAATACAATATAGGAACAAATGTGTCAAACATTATAGACTTCACACTACCTTGTTGTATGCATCTTTTGAGCATTAAGCTTCATTAGGATTATTTATGCAAGTATTTGTACAATGTTTGTGCCTTTATTTACTTTCATAGTTCTATTCTATTTGTTTTCTCGTGAAAAAGATTGCTAGGTCAGTGGCTTTGAGAATCTAACATGTTAACTGTTGTTTAGGCTATTCAGATACTAAGGACTGATTATGAACCCTCGGATTTAGATATCCTTTATGCTGAAGGAGTTACTTCATCCAATGGGCTGGCTAGTGTAGAGTTTTCATTTCCTCAATCAGCTACTGTGGAAACTGGCGATACTGATGATCTTCTTGATTCTTTGGCTAGGTAAGAAAAGTGTCCTTGAAAATTTTAGTATTCCTTTCCAACCTAAGACACTAGAGAACATCTAAGACAGCGCTACGCCAAAGTTTTTAAGTATTTCTATGAAACCCCAAACCTCTAAAAAGTTAATAATGAAAAATCGATTGAAGTTATTTTGTAGCTCAGGTTTAATGTGTTCTTGTGTTTGATAGACATGGTGGAAGTTCCTTCCACTGAAGCACATGGACTTGAAATACACAACTTCGTGTGATCTGTATAGATAACTCTTTTTACCTAAGAAAATATTTTCAATTGAGATAGATGCCTTTCCTTAACTAGCTTTAGCTTTTACATCAGTTGATGCTTTAAATTCATTTTTGCAGTCACCAAGTGTTATCAAGTGCAATTTGAATCGGGTTTACCATAAACTGTTTCTGATCTGCAGCTCTTATCTCTTTGGTTGATTCACAGGTATGAGCTAATTACAATACATGCAAGAGGGCTAGGAGATAATTGCAAGTGGCTAGAAATGTTTGAGGACGTTGGATTGGTCATCTTCTGTGTTTCCTTGAGCGACTATAATCAGTTTTCTACAGACGGAAACGGTTGTCTCACAAACAAGATGATATTGAGCAGGAAACTTTTTGAGACCATTGTTACTCACCCAACTTTTGAGCAAATGGACTTCCTGTTGATATTAAACAAAATGGACGAGTTTGAGGAGAAAATAGAACATATTCCACTGACTCAGTGTGACTGGTTCTCTGATTTTCATCCAATAATTAGCCATAGTCGCTCTGGCAGCAACAACAACAACATTAATAATAATCCCTCCCTAAGTCAGCTTGCTTCCCATTACATAGCAGTTAAGTTTAAGAGGCTTTATTCAACTCTTACAGGGCAAAACTTGTATGTTTCCTTGGTGAAGGGGCTGGAACCTGATAGTGTTGACGCATCACTTAAATATGGAAAGGAGATTTTAAAGTGGAACGAGGAGAAACCAAACTTTAGCTTAAGTGATGACTCAATGCATAGCATCGAGGCAAGTTCATTCTCTCATTAACTGTTAGTTAAAGTTAAAGCTAGTGTTGTAACCTTGTAAGTCATCCTTGTGACGTCGATTCTGTTCATGTACATATATGCCAACGGAGTAGAAACACGCAAGCACATACCTTCCACTGGCTATCGAGTTGTAATATGCCCTTGCCACTGCCAGAGAGAGATGAAGGTGTTCAAATTCATTTTTTCACACTGTAATGTAATATATAGATGCTTATATTTTACTGTGTCAGATAGGCCTTCTGCCTGCATAGGTTGCAAATAGACTTTTCTCTAAATCACATTATCTCTATGCGTGCGATTGTAGAAATTAATTTTCTGAAATAACTAAAAGCTATATCAACTTGAGATAAGCATTTCTTACTACATAATAATTGTAACCATTTTTTAGTTCTTTCTAATAAATGCATCTATTGTCTGGCTTGAGACTTGTTTGAGTATAATTGAATATTAGTGAGGTTGGCTTTCTAATAAATGCATAGCACTACTTCTGGCGCCTAAGTTTTTAAAAAATCACATGTTCTTAAAGAAAACATTTCTATAAAAGATTTTATCTAAATGCATGATGGTTCCATGAAAGTATGACCACATTCATGATCTCCAAATCATGGATATGTGCATGTGAACAAAGTAATTGTTCAACAAATTGCAATTGCAATTGCATTATTATTTTCTGATTGGCGTTTCAGTGCATGCTCAATTCTCACTCAAAAGATGACATTTTGTTTCTTTACATTGGCACAAAGCATAGCTCAACCTCAGTGATTAGTCAACAGCTGGATGGACAAAACATAATAAAATCCCCTACAATCAAAAGGAGTAGTTCCTTAGTGAAACAAAACGTAGTGGGGGTGGCCCAACAATGATTATTACCCTTTATAAAAAAATAGATATAATTCGCTTAAAATAAAGTGCTTATTCGTGGGGATAGCACTAGCCTCCCCTGCCTTCCTTCAGTGCTGTTGTAGGGTAGCATATATTATTGATTACTCAATTAATAATTGATTTCTATATTCATTATTAATAATAATTTACTCAATATTTACATGCAAGGTCCTGCAGTGATTATACTCTACAAGTTTAACTAGCAGGAACAAACTAAACAAATAAGGACAAACCCAATTATTTCATTCAGACTAAGAAAAGGAGTCATATTCTGCTCTGAATCAGATTCTGGTATCATTTCAGTCAAATGCTTAAATTTTAGTTAATGTAATATTTATTTACTAAGGAACAAACTTCAGTCAACAAAGAAAGCATCCACCACAGAATGTATCATTATCAACTATAGCATGAAAATGAACACTACCTTTTTACAAAAGTTGGAAATCCTTGTATTAATTCAAATTACACCATGACTTCCCAATATTGTAACAAATCTCCAAAGCCAACTCTACAAGCAGCTCAAAAGCAGAAGAGGAAAATTTAAAAAATATAAATAATTTAAGCGACAAGAAACAAAAACTAACAAATCAACCCCAGTATATTCCAGCAGCATACAAAATTACCACCAATTCATCTTCCTGTGGCCTTTAGAAACATCTCACGAATAATATTTCATGTTCAGTTTCCAAAATTGAATAAAATTGCCTACCACTTTGCCATCTCATGTCTCGGAGTCTTCTTGAACAGTAGGAAGACCCCCTTCTATGATAAAAGTCGGGTTAAGAAACTTTGCCACAAAAGCCCATAATTTATATACATCCTCAAAATTAGTCAGAAATCCCAATGAAGCCGTGACAACTTCAAGCCTTACATAACTGCCTTTTCCATCACGCCGGCCACTCTCCATGGGCTTGCAAAGCGCTGTGTCATCAAGATTCAGAGCTACACGCTGGTGTCTTGAGTTATCAAGAATCTTTATATGGCTGAGAATACCAATACCGAGAGATATTCCTTCTTTTTCAGCCAGCTTTTGAACAATCTCAGGATTGATTAGCCCCCTACTTCTGTCCCTGAGGTTGAAAGCAACAGCTGCACCTCTTTCATATTTTATTTTTGGGCCATAGATATGAACAAGGTTTACTTTTTCATCCCCATTAGAAACGGGTAACTTCAGTTGCAGTAGTGAAGTGACGAGCCAGTTAATCAAAAACCGAAGTCTAAGCGTAGTTTTATTGAGACCAAGCATATCGACATGATCAATATTTCGACATACAATCTCGGTGTCCCTTCTGCCCCAATCTTGCCCATCACCATATTCTCCGTCACTACTGACCTCTTCATCATCTAAACTAGTTGCAGATATGTCCCCTATCTCCAAGCTCTCTCTTACATGCTCTTTACGATTATCTTCCATGCTAAATGACACCCTTCTTCCTCTGCCATTGTGTTCGTCATCTTCCAAACCAATTAGCCTACCACCATCAAATCGATTCCCTTCTCTCCGACCCAACAACCTAAACTCCCCTTCAGTTTCCCGTCTTATAGCACTCTCTTTTATCTCAGAGCATATTTCAGAGGCAGAGCCATTCTCCAAGCTTTGATGCCGAGAAAGAGAAGTTGAATTATTGAGCCAAGATTCTCCCATAGCATGAGTTCCATTCTGAACTGCTTCACTGGTTCCAGGTTCTTCAATTATCTCACTGGCATGTGGACGGTCTGACCCATTTCCATTTATTGAATAATGATGAACTTCTTCAACATACTCTTCTTCAGGGACCTCTTTGACACGATCTAGTTCTTGTGACATTAGGACAGCAGCATCAAATGATAGAACCCGGTGATCATCATGAGAAGCTAGATGAACCTCTCTGTCATCATACATAGGACTGCCATACATCTTGGAAGTTGGTTTTGGAGAATGTTGTTTTTGGTTCTTCCTCCCGTTAAACCAGAAAGATGGTAGGGGAGAAGCTATCTTCTGTTTATTCGATTGACCTGCATTGTCTGACCCAATTGGACTTTGACCCAAATCAATCCAAAATGAGTTGTCAGAAGACTCATCCTCACTGAAGACAGGGCTCTTTATCACTTCTCCCACAGATATACTCTCCGTCTCTTCAAATATAGTGCTGGTTCCATCTCTTTCAGAACTGTCGTGATCCATTTCAGTCTCAAATACATCTCTGACTTGTGCAGACGTGTATGCGCCAGAGAAGGCAGGCAACTGTGATCCTTGGCGAGGTTCAAAAGTCGTATCACAAGCCCGATTGACCTCATTGTCTTCAGTCCCAGCCAATCTATCTAAACCATCTACAGAATCACTCAAATACACTGGAAACTCGGGGGTAATCTTCACCATTCCGGACCCGGTACTCCCAGACTGATTTTGAAGGCTTGCCATCACAGATTTTTTTATCAGAAGACAACCAAAACCTGTGGGATCATACCCAAATACCCTGTAAAACGATGTAATTATGAAATCTGGCCTGAAAAGGGACAAGCCAAGTGAATCCATGTCCTTGGGGCCCAATGACCCAGCATCAAGCAAGACATGCCAGTTGTTCTGCTGTGCCAAGGCCATCCACTGGTACGAGTACTTAGCTCCGGTTACTCTAGACTGAACTGGGAATACAAAAAGACCAGTAGCTGAATCCTTCTTCCTCTTTTTCTTATTGGAAATTTGTTTTCTTAAATCAGTGGAGCAGAGTTTGAGAGTTGGCCATTTAAACCATGCACTGTGCACTTTGGCGCCTTTACTCCTAGCACACTGAGCCATCCAGTTAACGGACTGGCTGTCATGGTCGAACATGGTCAACAGTTTTTTGTTCGTTTGGAAAGGGTATGATTCAGCCAACAATTTGAAAGCTGACCCTCTGCTAACAGTAAAAACAAGGCCATATTCACTCTCGGGGATATTTAGATAGTCCATAATTCTGGCCTTTATATCATGCTCAACAGTTCCTTTCTCAGCACCGCCATACAGTGCATGATTACTCAAATTTGCAGTTATCTCAGACAAGCTAAATGTACAAGATTCCCAATAGTGAATAGTCTGAATAAAAGAGAAGAGACCGAACCCACAATAATCAAGGCATACCTTGGGCGGCAGATGAGAATATTCCTCGGACCTCAATTGATCAACTTTCTCCGAGGACATATACTTGGGATACATAGTGAGAAACATCGAAAATGCTTCTTGAAGGCTGAGAATTTCTTCCTCAGAATCAAACGTGCGTTCAGCTGCAAGGGCAGTAGCACGAAGGAACTCGCGCTGAGCATTCAACCTGGCCAACGATCTAGATCTCCCAAGGCTCTCATCCTGGTTCCCCACAGTGTCAGGTTCCATATCTTGTGATTTGGCAAGTAATCCATCTTCTGAAGCTTCTTCAAGAGCTTCCCTCAGCTTGTTTTCTTGTAGCTTCCGGAGCATTGACGGGTTTCTTTTTATATCAGCCATGGATTCACCTTTCTTCTTCCTGCTCTTCTTGTCCAAGATCAGAGAAGCACAATGAGAAATGGGCTTCCACAGTGAGAGATGCATTATAGCTTCCTCCAAAACTCACACAAAGCAACCAGAAACTTCAAACACCACACAAACAAAAGGGATTACCCCATCAATCTGCAACAAATAAACAGCAAACAATAAGTTTCACCCAAAAGCAAAAGAAGCTATAATAACATAATGAATCTAGAATCTCGAAAACAACAAAAAAACATAATAAAAGACAAATGAGTCACCTTGAAAACCAACAAGGCGAAACAAAAAGCTTAAATTTGTTTACCCCAGCACCCAGAATAGGTTTTCAACCCCTAATTTCAATGAGAGAGAAAGTCAAACCCTAGAGCCCAGATCCCAAAATTCACAAACCAACTCAAAACTCCATGAAACTCACCCAAAAGCAAGAAAAATAAATACTTTATGAGAACTGAGTTTGAAGAAGAATCAAACCTCAAACCTCAATCAGAACCATCAAAAGAAAAAGAAGAAAAAAAAAACTCTTGTCTCTATTCTCAACATAACACACAAACACTCTCTCTCTAGTTCGCTGAAGCATAATTAAAGCAAGAAACCCCACATGAAATTCTCTTTTAATAGGAGAGAAGTAAGAATGATATTTTGCGTGTACGATTTTCTTGTCAAATTTAAAATCCAAAGAAAAAGTAGAAGAAAGAAAAGAAGAGAAAAAGAAAAAGGAGAAAAAAATTTTCAATTGAGAATAAACCCCATTCTACTATTTCCAAAACCTCTTCAGACACAATCCGAAGAGAAAGAAAAAAAAAACACGATCCTCGATTAACAATCTAGAGAGAAGAGAAGGGACATTGACTATAGGAAAACCAAATTTGTCTGTGTTATTAAAATAAAATTGAGTTGTGATTTTCTCACAAATTTTAAGGATTTTTGTTTTAATGGTGGGACCCAGAAGGTGACGTCATCAGTTAAAGTCAAATAATAAGCTGGGTTGTAAAAAAGCTGCCCAACTTGGCAAACCTCAAAAGTCCAACTTCCAAAGTCTAATACCCCAATAGAAATACAAGCTATCAATTTTAAATAAATAGAATTTTTGTTTTATAAAATTTAAATTTTCTGTGGTATATAAAAAAAAAGCCCGTTTTGTTGTGGGTTATGTTATGCTTTGTTTTTGGCTCCAAGACAAAAGTGTGTTGCTTTAAGTTTCAAATACAACCAAATACTTGTTCATTCGAAGTTGCTACTGTAATAGTGGATACTCTATTAGAAAGAATCTATACCCCGCAGTTTCTAAAGGTAAAAGATAGAAAATTGAAAAACGAATCTTTGATCAAGACACATTGAAAGTTACTTGGGAGTTTATTTATTGTTAGATTCAATAGTTCAAACAGATTTACAATAATGAAACACCCTAATCTTCAATCTATCATGTATCATTGTTTGTGTAGGAAAATAAGTGATTTTTGTTACATAATAACAAAATTAGCAAACTTTACAATATCAACATATTGGTTATTACTTAATGTACACTAATTTAACTTATGGGAAATGTCAAGACCAATATTTTTAAAATTTGACTGAACAAATTGGTCAAACCGATCAAATCAAAAACAAAATAATTGGTTGAATCAAGAATTAAGATAATAGATCTGATTATATTATTGAATTTTTTATGTTATTGAAATGTGTTAAACGGTCATAGTTAAAAGAAATCAATAAATTGACGGTTTTTATAAATCGAACTATTTAAAAATTAATTTTTTTTAAGATAGTGTAGTTTTTTCTTTCTTTTTTTTTTATTTAAATTTTAAAATATAAGGGAATTAGAAAGTCGAAGATAAAGATAAAATTTAAAACAGGAACACAATTTTAAAAAGGGTTAGATATGTTTTTTATTCCTATAAATATCTCACATTTCTTTTTTAGTCTCTATAAAAAAAATGATAGATTTTAATCCCTACAAAAAATTTATGAATGTAGTTTTAGTCCTTCTTATTTTCTAAAATTTTGAAAACTATTTAATTACCTCTAAATTTTTAAATTTTTGAATAATTATTTTCATACGCGTTCAGATTACTATAAAATGTTTCTTTACCAAATTATATAATTTTTAAAAATGAGAAAAATTAAATATGAATTTTTAAAATTTTAAAAGATAATGATAAAAGTAATAAAATCTCGACTTATAAATCAAATTTTGAATTTTTTTTCGAGGAACTTTTTATAGCGTTCTAAACATATCTCCAAAATAATCATTCAAAAATACACATTGGTTTAACAGTATGGACTAAAATTACGTGCATAACTATTTTGTAGGGATCAAAACACACTATTTTTTTTATAGAGACCAAAAATAAACTTTGATAATTTTATAAGGACCAAAAACATATTTAACCCTTCTAAAAAATAGAAGAATCCTAATACTTCATCCTCATCGTTGCCACTTCCATTGTTATCCATCTTTGTAACGCCATCTTTCTTTTGTTGTTGTTACCCCCTCCCCCTTTCTTACAATAAGTTAGTTTCATTCAAAGAATGTGTTAACAATGATACAACTAGTGGAAAGAAATTAATCTCTTTAATTTAGGTCTTTTGACAAGTAGCACATCGAAATTGGGGTTTCTTTCCAATCCTAAGGTAACTTTATCATTCAACCAATAACATTACTCACATTTAATTATAAGTTTTTAGTATTTATAATTATAATATATTTTATGTAATTTATGTATTTTGTTGCGCTTTACCTGTCCCTTATTTTTTAGTTGATTGAATTCATTTTTCAATAGCTTCATTTATTTTATATAAGTAAATTTGGAATTGTAAACAAAGATTGTAATGATATATTTGCAAAAGACCTAGTAATGGAGGGAGAGTGGTAACCCCCGGGAGACATGACACCTATATGTCTTTCCTCATTAGGAATTGTCTCGCCCTAAATGCACTTCATACTCGTCCAGTCATGGAAAACGTGTAAAAGGAAGTTCCTCGATTAGAGGAAAGTCAGTGTCAAAATATTAATCCTTGTTCTCCTAGGAAATAAGGTTTCAACCTTCAATCATTTATCAAGTAGGAGGTTACTAGTCCAACTTACCTAACATCACGCATAGACAAATAGTCTCTCACGTCATGTGAGATGACCCTTAAATACCATTGTAAAACATCAACAGACAGGGTTTTTCACTATTGTGAGCAAGCCCTGACAACCCTTAACTTCAAAGGCATCTGAGTACAGAGAATAAAGAATCGACATCACCTACTTTATAAGTTATATCATCAAAATATTCCTACAAGATAATGACCTCATGGTCGTCACTATGCAACACGGCAATTGGGATACCAAGTCAGTCTTGATAGATCTCAGGAGTTCTGCTAATCTAATAATTTATGATGTCTTTTAGAAACTTTAGCTCGATGCTAACGACATTAAAACGCTATAGGGTTCGTTAATAGAATTGTTAGGTGAGTGTGTACAAGTGGGGGCCACGTAACCCTATAGATAACTTATGGCGAAGGAGTATACGCCATGGCGATTGAAGTCTGCTACCTCGTAGTACAACATCATTCTGGGTCGACTCAACATCAATACGTTAAGGGAGGTTATTTCCACCCGATACTGGTTTTGAAGTACCCATTTCCTAGTGAGCAAGTTAGGACAATTCGAGGAGACCAGCAAAGCACTCAAGAGTAATATTATAATAGTATGGTAACAGAGATGGAAGAAATCGCTCTTATAGGCGCCCCCGCCCCCTCCCCAAGGTCTTAAATGCTGACATCGATTATTAGGATCCTAGGTTGGGCGCGAACTGTAACACCCTAAAACACTGACTCATAATTAAAAGGATAAAATTCACATTTTAGGATGTTACTCAAACACAACATGCATACTTTACAAACATTTAAGAACTCGCAGTTGAACTCAATTAAATAACATAAACATTAATTATCTCATCAATGGAAAAACTTAATAAAATCAACATAATCCAACAATTAACTCCAAACAAATAATACTTATCATTCCTGATTTTCATACCCCGAATTTTACCCTTAGGTTATTAGGGTCATTTCGCATTTCATTTCATCTTGCATTGCGTTTTAACTAACTGCTAACCGGTTTGTTTAGTCTGTTGTTGTTGCAGGAAAATAACGTTGGGTGCGCTTTAATTTATGAAGGGCATAAGGGTCGTTATCATAAACCATATGGAGTTGAGGACGCTGAAATGTAATTGAATTTGGGTTGAATCGGTGCGAGAATCGGCTGCAAGGAATTTATTTTGGCCAGAGTATAATTTCCCGGTTTTTCTGCTAGTTACCAGTCCATTTTAAAGGAACAGTGGAATTTCGGTTTGTGTTGAATTTATAATGAACATATTTTGGTTAGGTCATGATTATTAGCCGAGCTGGTTTAAGTTACCGGGTTAAATCATTCGAGATGCAGTTTGAATTTTCAATACAAAAGACAGTTCGCTTTGTCGCTTAACTGAATTTCTCTGCTTATCCGTTCAAGGCCATATTCATTGACTTTAATATCGAGTACGAATTAATGTGCAGAAGAATTTGGTTGAACTCAATAGTTACAGAGGATTTAAATCAGGCAAGATGGTTAATTGTCAAATCTGAAGTTTTAACGTCGAGGCTTAATCGGATAATTTTCATTGGATTGAATTTAATCGGACGATATGATTTGGACTTTTAATCAGATGAAGTTGATCAGGTGGACTTAGTAGGGTAAATTGAATCAGTTGAATTTATGGCTTTAAGCAGACGAAGTAAGTCGGACGAATTCACTCAAACAAATTTATTTGGAGGAGCTTAATCGAATAAATTTAAATTAAATGAATTTAGTTGTTTGAGTTTATTTAGAGGAATTTATTCGGATAAAGTTAATTAAATGAATTTGTTCATTTAAGTTTAATCGGAGGAATTATTTGAAGATTGCAACCAGAGATTTTAATCGGAGAAATGTGATTGGATAAATAATTTGAACTTATTCATTTAAATTCTATATTATTACAATATTACATTTATTACAATAGTACAAAAAATTATAATTACAAAAAGTTCCAAAAGTC